GTTTGATCATAAAACTTTTTGTCCATTTACGATTTCTTTCCAATATGATGAACAGTCTTTTAAGTCAACACCTTTTGGTTATGCCATGATCATGTAATGCAAACAAAAGAAATCAATATGAACGGATTAGAGCAATGTAATATACATGAAAAAAAATAGAATAGTTAGTACCAACTAAAAAAAAACTATATATCAATGTATAAATCTTAACCTCATGCTTTCTAGTTCCATGCTTTGTTTGGAAAATTTAATTTAACTGCACGATTTCTAGTTCACATGCATTTATTCAGGAAAAAGAAAATGAATAAAATAAATTAAAAGCTAGAGCTTATTTCTCCTTTGTGTATACCTACTGACAAAATTTCGGCATAGTTTCAGATCGGGAGAGTTTCTAGGGTTTATTATATGCAGGTTTTCAGTTCTAGGAGTAAAGGTACTCGAATTGTCCTTGTTGATGCCCCCTTGGGCTGTCAAACCCTCAATCCTAGTCCATTACAGACTTAAGCGGATCGAGTTCAATTCAAGGGGACACATTTCTCTATGCCTGACACGGAGAATAAATTCTCACGAAGACATAGAGCATATGAACCCCGAAAGTTACTTGCTAGGTCTGACACGGAGAATAAATTCTCACGAAGACGTCGCTTTCACTCCCACTTAAAAAAGGACAAGCTTGATTAGAAAGCTTATGTTATGCAATGCAAGTGTTGTGTGTGAGGAGAAATGTTCAAACCTCTAACAAACAAATAAAATAATTAATTCTTGAATAAAATAAATAAATAAAATAATAAATAATAATATATAAAATAATAATAATAAAAAATTTGAAAGAAAAGAATTAAAAATTAATATATTAATTTTTAATTTCTAACTGATAGAGACAATTTATAATTAATTTTGAAGTTTGACAAGTCCCCAGCAGAGTCGCCAAGCTGTCGTAACCGGTTTTCGTCCGGGCACGAAATATTATAATTTGGAGGGGAAATTGATGTTAATAAATAATTTTGAAAATAATTGGTGAGTCGCCATCGACCTTTTGAATCAGTAGGTCGAATACCTAAAAATTTTCTTTTAAAATAGTTTTTAAGAAAACCATATTTAAAAGATGAACTGATCTGCGTTTTATAACCAAAAATTCGTTCTTTTTAATAATAAACAGGGATTCGTGGTCGGTTACGTTTAGGGAAGGATTAGCACCCCTACAACGCCCAAAATTGGTACTTTTTAATTATAAATTGTCTCTATTATTAAAAATTTAAAAAATCAAAAATATATTTAATTTATAATCTTATAATTTTAAAATTGTAAAAAAAAATATTTATTTATTTAAAAATATCCGAAAAGAACTTCTAGGTGCCTTAAGACAGCTCTTTTCTTTGATATTGATAAATATTAGTTTTTAAATAATATTATTTAATTTTTAATTATAAATATCAGAATAGGACATCCAGTTGTATTAAGACTGTCCTTTTCTTCGATATCAAAAATATTTATTATATGTATATAAAAATATTTAACAGTATAATAAAATAAAAATATCACTAAAATAATATTTTAAACAATAAAATGAAAACATATAAAATAATTAAATTATGAATAAAATTAAATCTAATTCCTAATTAATTGAAATTATAGGGATTAATATTTTATTTTCTAATTTTAATAACTTAGTGACTAAAATGAATTTATTTAAAAATCAAATTTAAAAATAAAATTAATTAAAAATATGAACTAGGGATGAAAACTTTATTAAAATTAAAGGATTAAATCTGTTATTTATCCTAAATATATTATTTAATAAAAGGACTAAAATGAATAAATTTAAAATTCGAAGACTGAACTAAAAAATATTAAAATTCAATTTAGTGACTAAAATGTAAAGTTTACAAGTACTAAGGACTGCGGAAGGGATTTAACTATTTTGTAATTACGCGCATAGTCCTTCCCGAAACGACGTCGTTCGGGAAGGACTATAAATGTCCAATATCGGCTGGCCCGAAGGGCCAACCATTTCATTCCTCATTTCCTTCTCTCTCTCTAAACCGAGAGAGTTTCAAACTCTCTGCCTTCTCTCTAGCTTCCCTCACCGGAGGGAAGCCGGTCATCGGTCGGCCACCGTGTGCCGCCGTGAATGTCACCGCCGGCCACCGCATCCGGTGGCCGAAAAAATTATTCTTATACTAGTAGATAGATCGGACCGTCCTAAGGACGGTTCCGATGTTCTTTTTCCTTAAATGGCTCCCAATCGGAGCAGATCTGTAAATATACCTTCGGTATTTTTGATTTTCCGACGATGTTCAGTGATTCCGGTGGTGGTCAAAGCTTCCTTGGTAAGCTTCTCTTCTCTCTTTTCTTTCTATTTTTGCTCTGCTGTTGTGGACTGGGATCGTTGGTAGTTGTTGTTGTTGTTATTATTATTTTTTTTTTCTCTGTATTTTTCTTTCTGTTTCTTTCTCTTCTTGCGGTCTCTGTCCCTCTTTTTGTCTTGCAGGTGGGTGGTGGCTTTTATAGCCACCACCGGTGCGGTCATCGGACCGGTCCGAAGAGAGGGCTTTGGTGAGTCACCGGACTACCAGTGGTGACTCACCCCGTAGCCTTGGCGTGGACGGCCGTCGTTGATCTTCTGGAGCCTTCATTCGGAACGTGGCAGCGGCGGAGGCGTCGGCAGTGGACCATTGGACCACTTGGCAGTGAGGCGGCGGCTGGGATCTGGAAGCATCAGAGGCGGCTGGCGTGTGGCTAGGGTTTAGAAACCCTAGCTGAAACCTTTTAGGGTTTCTGGTTGGCTGGACCGGTTCTAGTTGGCTTGTAACTGGGCCGGTCCAGTTGTAATTATTTATTAAATAATAATAATAATAATAATATATAATATTAATAATAATAATAAATACTAATAATAATAATAATAATAATAAAATGGATAAAAAATAGTATCTTCAGTAAGCATTCAACCTGGGCCATGACATAGGTTCTTGATGCATCGTTTATACATTTTGGCTCAGTACTGTTTTGCAATCAAGGAAGTTTTTCTTAGAATCTCAGCTGCATTGCAATGCATACCTCTGTGTGTGTATAAAATCAAAGAGACTATCTGAACCATTCATGCTCTCTTCATCCGATCATCTGATTTTGTGTTTTAATCGTGGTTGATCGATCGCAGGCCGACTTGTTGGGAAGCCCCGTGGTGAGACCAGCTGACATAGAAACAACTGCTCTTGGTGCTGCATATGCTGCTGGAATAGCTGTAGGTGTGTGGAAAGAAGATGAACTCTTTGCTTCGGGTCATAAGCTCAACGCCTCAACCACATTCTCCCCGACGTTAAGCGAAGAAAAGAGGAAGAAGAAGGTCGATTCTTGGTGCAAAGCTGTCGAAAGAACATTCGGTTTGGCCGATCTCGAAAGTTGATACATCAACACTGAATTCTGTTTCAACTTCATTGTAACACTAATATTTTCTGTAGATTTTTTACAGACAAGAAAACAATGGTTCTGCATTCAACTGAATAAATTAATAAAATGATTAATGTAATATTGTTGTAGTCATTGCTTTACTTCAGTGATTTTCCTTTCAACATAACTCTCTTATTATGACTGCCAAAATCTTAATTATGTGTTGTTAATCATATTAAGTGATCTATATTATGCTTTTACATTATCAATAAAAAAAAATCATATTAGTAATCTCGTTTATTGTTGAACAGCGGATGACCGAAACATAATATTAAGTATGATTTAAAAAAAACTAGTTGGATGACCAAAATAAAACCGTAAAAATGGGTGGAGGACAAAATAATAATTTACTATATTTGGATTTCAAGAAAAACAGAAACCAATAAATTTCCATTATAGGTTTGAAACAAGATTTAATTCTCGAAATAATGTCTTGTTGAGGAGAAACCATTAAATTTGAATTCCTAACTCTATTATAGGCCTTGTAATTTGAGTCTAAGGTTATCCAAATGGACTCGTGTGATAACATAATTAGAGGTGAGTATTTGAATCGAGCTAAAAAATATTAAATTAAACGAATTGACGAGTATTATTTCATAACTTAAATTTTATTTGAAATTTTTTCTAATCGAGTCGAGTTTATGAAATTTGAATCAAGTCAAGTTGAGTTGTTCGAGTTTCTATTTAGATTTAATAATAAATATTTATAATATTATGGTACTATTTGATTATAATTTAAATAATTATATATATATATATATATTCATTTTTTCCCATGTGCATTGTACATATATCATTTAGAATTGAGGGATTCAACTCGAACTTAAAAATTAATCCACTGATTACCAAATTTTGAATTATTTGAATTTTATTTTATAATTCAACTCGAATTTAAAACTTTTTCGAGTCTAATACATCTTATAAAACTACAAATTGAATTAAGTTTTTTAACGTCGCAAAATTTTCAAATTAAATCGAGTCTTGCTCACTCTAGACAACATGATGTAAGTATAATTGAACAGATAGTTAAGTTACAGTAAAGGGGCAAAACATGTGTTAAAAGACGTAAAATTTAATAACTTTCACATGCTGATGTTTGAAAAAGCATGGATTGTAAGTTGTAGTCATTAAGCCTATTAATTATTTTGTTAAGAATATGAAATTAGTTTTACCTTTTTTAAAAAATATTTATTACCAACAAAGCATTAATTAGTTTAGCCATAATCTTATATGATATTAGTTTTCCATTTATTCAAAAGAATCACATTCTTTCAATTTCTCACTATCATTTAAAAGAATCACATTCTCGTAAACTGATTCACAAAGGAACCTAACATTTCCTGGAAAGTGAGCATATTGTCCTTTGTCCTACTAAATAAGAATATCCATAAATAACAGAGAAATTATCTGTTATGTTAAAAGAAAGAAAAAAGGGAGATTTTCCCCCTAAAAATCAAGTAGATAATCTTCATTGAGGTTGCTGGATGCTGCGCTGTGCCGTTATGAAAAGGGAATTGAGAGAGATTCTGGTTAGATAACTAGGAACAGAATAGTATAAAAAGCAAAGCTGCATTGCAAGCAATTAACAATCTCTCTGCGTAATTAATAAATTCCACATCCCTTTGCATTAAACAAACAAACAGTACTCCAATAAGGTCAACAAAATTTTTAAAACCCCAAAAAAAAACAATGAAAAACTCTTCTCCACTTCTTCATTCTTCTATCCTAAGTGTTCTTTTAACCGAAGTTGGTATTAGAGGTTTATGGGCGGGGGGTTGTTACAGCAGGCCTCCTCGAGTTTAATTCGTTTTCCACGTTCTTTACTTATAAGTAATCTACCCTTCATGCTACTTGTTGAATGATACCATCGATCTTGCGACTCAGAAGCTTACTTTCTGCCTTTCACCACCCTCGTCATGTTCAACCTGGTAAATGCAAAATACAATGCGAATGGCCTTAGTAACCATATTCTATAAATATGTTCAGGATCGCCAGTGATCCCAAAATGAACGTATCATTTACTAGGAGGGGAACTCCATAAAAAAACACCAAAAAAACAGGTGGATCTGGTGTAATAATAATAATATGCTATATACAATGTATGTAAAAAAGTGTATCTCAAGCTACAGAATTTAACGGTAATCATTACTAGCCATGAACCAAAATTACTTGCACTGCTCATATCTGTCTGATTCCAAGTGCACCAGAAATCAACACAATGTTTCTTTCCAGATGTGACAAACGGTCTAATATCATTAGACATCAAAGTCTGCCATATAAATCTTTTTGCACAATGCTTACAAGAAAGTTCTCAAGCTACATATAGATAGAATCACCATTATTTAAAAAGAAAAAAGGGAAGGGGGGAGGGGGCTTTTCACTTAATTGATATTAATGATGTTAGACTATCACATGAATAAAATACAGTCTAAAAAAATCATGGATATCTACATATAAAAATGAAAGAATACATATATGATTGCAGAAAACAGAGTTGGATATAGACAAGGATTCTTACCTCAACATGGATCCTTGGTTTCTTTTTCAACTTTTTACCAAACTCATCTTTCTCGGACTTATCATGGGCAGACTTAGGCTTACTTCTCACTCTCTTTTCTTCAATTGCATTTTCTTCTTCATCATCATCATCATTAGCTAACTCATCTGTATAAAAATTTCAACCATAGCAGAAATGAATATGCAGAATTTCTTATTCAGGCACATGGTATGCAATTGGTGTGATAATATTGTCACAAAAATGTAGCTCATACCATTTCAAAAGACAATAGCTAAGATAGGAAAAAAGCAAACATGGTGTAATAAACATTCATTTTTAATATTATGCATGCAATATCACATCATGTACAAGTACTGAGAACACAGACAAGAGTCATACCATCACCAATGTGATAATCCTTCATACCCAAATCTTCTATGTCATCTTCCTCTTCAAGTTCAAAGTTGCCCTCAACGTATTCAACTTCAGATTCCTGCTTATTCCCAGAAAACAAGCAGTGAGAAAGGAAAGGGAAAAGAAACTCAGGTCCCATACAACAATATGTAGCATAACACAAACCTCTTCATTTTCATCCTCAGCCTGCAGTTCATCTGTGTCAAGAGTTTGGAGGAATTTATTGAAGGGGAGGTTGTATATGCCATCATAAATTCCATTTTCAAGCCTTGCAAGCAACTCTTTCTCAATTGCCTGTGGAGGTATTAGTTAAAACCAATTTGGAGATGCTAAAACATCAGGATAAGCAATTAAGCAGATTATAACCTTATCCAGAACTGCAGCCTTTTCAGCCTTTTCCTCCCTTCTATCCTCTCTCTTCTTCTCCTTTCTGGGTGTAGTCATGATCTTCTCCCTATGGGAAAATATAAAAGTGATAAACAGCTAATAATGATAAAAAGAAATCCAGCACAAACAAATAAATGACAATTAAAATAAGTTTTGGTATTAAGGCCAAAATAGTCACTGTTGACTATATCATGGGTTAGAGTTGAACTCGGCCATTTTACTTCAATGTCATTAAATCTTGCCACTATACTTCCAAGTAGTTGATATTTTAACACAAAAAATGACAGAATCAATGAAAATCGGTCATTTACATTAAGGGGATATCCAATTCCATTTTTTTTCTCCCAAAACCAAAGAAAATAATAGAATTGTAGCAAAACTATATATTGAACCATGGAATAGTGGCAAAATTGGCCGTCGTCACTTAATTTTTTAAGAAAGGTACAAAACTCCCACTAAAACCCACAAAGTTCAGCCCAATGCAAAGTACGGCAAACAAATAAACAAGATATGATGAATGGAAATGAAGTTTAGGAAGGAAGCTTTCAGCAAGCACCTTAGGTAAATTCCAAGGAAATAAAGTTCTCTTCTATGACTTTCATCTATTAAATTCCAGACAAACATCAAAACCAAATATATAAATAAAAGTGAAAGCATATGGGAACCTTGTTTTCAAGGCAAGTTTCCTCATGCGGATACGCATCTGGGTCATTTTTGTGAGACGCTGCTTTATTTTGTGAACAAGGAGCTTAGGCCAGTACATCTTAATGACAAGAGAAAAAAAAAGCATGTTTAGCAACAGAGAAGCAAAGTTAAGAGAAAAGGATTATGAATTAGTAGAAATGTAAAACATGAGAAGAGATGGAATACCAGATGCTTGTCAATAATTTCAAGTGCCTTCTCATAATTTCTGGGTAATTTCACTCTTTCCCATAAATCATTGGGTTTATGAGCTCTTTCTATAGTCTTCATATATAAATAAAAGACCCCTGCATAAGAGCACGACAGAAAAATCCATTCAAGTTAATCACGCTCAAATTCAAATATACAGCAATCAGACTACCCAGTCAGGCAGACACTCTCATTCTCTAGCAATCAATCATTCAGCCAAATCGCAAAAATCACGATGCTTCATTTTAATTGTGATAACTGATGAAATAGATATATTTTAATGAATTTAACACATTGTATGTATCTGACGGAACAGAGACTAACGCAGCAAAAATGCATTACCATTAATTATAACCTAACCCAGTAAAATCCTCTTCTCGTTTCCCTAATTTTCTGAGAGATACAATTAATAAAGAAGGATGAGTTACCATCATGGTCACGGATAGTGGCATAGCGACTATTTGCAAGAGGGCAGGAACTACGATTGCAGATCCCAGTTACGTTATAAGGGTTTCTACAGAATATACCAGTAGAGATTCTGCAAAGAAAAAAAACATTAAAAAAGATGGTACCCATATCAAAGCTCAAAAAAAGATTAAAGAGAAAATAGAGGGGAGAATTATACTTGGACATGAAACTGCAGTGTTTGTGTCTTATTACTTGCCATATCACCTCGTCGTGCTGCATCTCTTTTCTTTAATGTCCTGAGTTAAAAAAGAGCAACAATAGAGAAGGCGGATGAGGGCTGATTCAAAGAGAAGGAAGAGGCTGGGACACAGAGGCGGCAGGCTTACTGAAGAGAGCTGAGAATAGGTCGGGTAAAAGAAATTTTATTTCTATTTTTTGGATAAACTACACTGATGGTCACTTTTATTTTAATTTTCTTCTACTTTTATCTATTAAACTTTTAAAAATTATATTGTAATAATTTATGATCAATTATTTCATAAAATAATGACCCAGGCATTAATTTTTGTTACATTGATGACGTAGTATTAGGGATAGGCACAGGATCCGAATCTGACAGGTTTCGACCCGACTCGACCCAATTGGGTTGGATTTTTTTAAAAAAATCGAATTAGGGTCGAATTTTTTAGAGGTTGTGTTCGGGTCGGGTCGGGTTCGAGTTCGAGTTCGGGTTGTGTGGTGTTGGATAAGATTGACTATGGAGGGACTGAAATGGGAGGAAAGACTGATGAATTGAATGGTGGCCAGGAAATATTGTACATTACTGTTCACGGTACTGTTAATACAATATAATACTATTCATACTATATAGTACTGTTCATGAAAACGTATTTTTTCAAATTTGTTATAATGAAACATAATTCAACAATATATGATTATATTTTATTAATACAAGTTCAAATGTTCTGTTATTTTATATAAATATTGTTTTAAAAAGTCAATGTGATATCTCAGACTCGTATCCGGGTCGGGTGCGGGTTGGGGTGTTACAATACCAATAAGGCACATTTAGAGGGAACATTGGCTGATGAAAGTTGAACACTTTTGTAAAGTGATAGGGTGGAGGAAGATGTGAAATCAGGATCTAAGTTTAAGGGTGAGGAGTCAAGAGAGGATGTAATGGCTACTAATTATCAAGAACAAAAGGTGCTGGAATCTGCTGATACTTCAGCTGGCATGATTTTCAAGCTTCAAGATGACAAAGTCATTGAAACTGTGAATGACAAGTCAGCTAATGTTGATATGGGAGATATGGGAACAGAGAGTAGGGAAGTAAAAGGTGCCACATCTGATTTTGATTCACTGGATGGTGGGGATGAAAATGAAAAAGCAGGTGACACTTCTGCTGCGGAGGAGGTGGAGGATAACATGAATGGTGAAGCAAAAGATTCATCAGTTGCAAGGGACATAAAGCGTAATGGTGAGATTGATGAACTGAAAAATACGATGTCTGAGGCTCTGAGCTAAGTAAACCTGTGGAAGGGACAGTTGATTCTGCATCCGGAAACTTATCTTATACGGAAAAGTCCACAAGTGAGAGGAATGAGCAGATTCAGGTTGGTAAAACTGATATGAGAACAGAGCTTCATGATGGTTTTCGATCTTGGCTTCCTGATGAAATGGCTCAAGATATTCATTTTTTGACCGAAAAATCTGAAAAGAAAGCAGAGAAAGATCGTCAAGATAAGCAAAGCACCAGAGTGACTCTAGAGCAGGAAGTGCAACATGCTCCAGGATCTTCTCTGTCTTCCAAAACTGAAGAGTTTAGGATGTGTCTAGAGAACGTGAAATTCTACCAGCTCCAGTATCGTCAACACCTGTTAAATGTACAAATCCTGCTACCCCTTCTCATCCTGCTGGCCTTGGGCGTGCTGCTCCGCTATTGGACCCTGCACCCAGGGTGGTGCAGCAGCCTCGTGGAAATGGAAGTGTCTCTCAGGCACATTCACAACAAATTGAAGATCCTGGTAATGTTGAGGCTGAGGAGAGTGATGAGACACGTGAAAAGCTACAGTTGATTAGGGTTAAGTTTTTGCGGCTTGCAAATCGGCTTGGGCAGACTCCCCATAATGTTGTTGTGGCACAGGTTCTGTACAGTCTTGGATTAGCTGAGCAGCTTTGGGGGAGAAATGGGGGCCGTGTCTGTGTCTTCAGCTTTGGCCTTGCAAGTGCTATGGCAGAACAGCTTGAGGCCGCTGGAAATGAACCTCTGGATTTCTCCTGTACAATTATGGTGCTTGGGAAGACAGGAGTTGGTAAAAGTGCTACTATCAATTCAATATTTGATGAAGTCAAGTTTGGTACCGATGCTTTCCAGACAGGTACAAAGAACGTTCAGGATGTTGTGGGCACAGTACATGGTATTAAGGTCCGTGTAATTGATACACCAGGCCTTCTTCCTTCCTGGTCTGACCAATGCCAGAATGAGAAGATCCTTCACTCTGTTAAAAGTTTCATTAAGAAAACACCTCCAGATATTGTATTGTACCTTGATAGGTTGGACATGCAAACCAGGGATTTTGGTGATATGCCCCTCTTGCGTACCATCACTGAGATCTTTGGTCCATCTATATGGTTTAATGCAATTGTAGTTTTGACTCATGCAGCTTCTGCTCCACCTGATGGTCCAAATGGTACTGCTTCTAGTTATGACATGTTTGTCACTCAACGTTCTCATGTTGTCCAGCAGGCTATTCGTCAGGCAGCTGGGGATATGCGGCTCATGAATCCTGTTTCGTTAGTGGAGAATCACTCTGCATGTAGAACAAATAGGGCAGGTCAGAGAGTATTACCTAATGGGCAGGTCTGGAAGCCTCATTTGTTGTTTCTTTCCTTTGCATCAAAAATTCTGGCCGAAGCAAATACACTTTTGAAGTTGCAAGATACTCCTACAAGAAAGCCTTTTGCTACTCGAACAAGAGCACCTCCTTTACCTTTCCTTCTTTCATCACTTCTTCAATCAAGACCACAAGTTAACCTGCCTGAAGAGCAGTATGGTGATGAGGATGGATTAGATGATGATTTGGATGAATCCTCAGACTCTGAGGAAGAACCGGAATATGATGAGTTGCCACCTTTGAAGCAGTTGACTAAAGCACAAATAGCAAAGCTTAGTAAAGCTCAGAAGAAGGCATATTTTGATGAGTTAGAATATAGGGAAAACTTCTTATGAAAAAGCAACTGAAGGAAGAGAAACAGCGGCGAAAGATGATGAAGAAAATGGCTGCTGCAGCTAAGGATCTGCCAAGTGAGTATGGTGAAAATGCAGAAGAAGAAAACAGTGGTGCTTCTTCTGTTCCGGCTCCCATGCCAGATTTAGCGTTGCCTGCTTCTTTTGATTCTGATAATTCTACTCATCGCTATCGTTCCCTTCATTCATCCAACCCATGGCTTGTGAGGCCTGTTCTAGATACTCATGGTTGGGATCATGATGTAGGTTACGAAGGTATTAATGTGGAAAGACTGCTTGTTGGTAAAGATAAACTTCCTATTTCATTTTCTGGCCAGATTACCAAGGACAAAAGGGATGCCAATGTCCAAATGGAATTGACAAGTTCTTTAAAATTTAAAGCATGGGGAAGGTAAAGCAACTTCAGTGGGTTTTTATATGCAGACTGTTGGAAAGGACTTAGCCTATACACTGCGCAGCGATACCAGGTTTAGTAATCTCAAGAAGAATAAGGCTACAGCAGGAATCTCGGTTACTCTCTTGGGTGATGCACTGTCGGCTGGTGTGAAAGTTGAAGACAAATTGATTTCTAATAAGCAGTTCCAGGTAGTCATGACTGGAGGTGCTATGACTGGTCGTGGTGATCTTGCTTATGGGGGCAGCCTGGAAGCCCAATTGAGGGATAAAGATTACCCCCTGGGTCGCTCCTTGTCTACTCTTGGTCTATCTATAATGGATTGGCATGGAGATCTTGCCATCGGATGCAATATACAGTCACAAGTGCCCATCTACAAACCTAATATCTCGTGCCAATCTGAATAACAAAGGTGTCGGACAAGTCAGTTTGTGACTATACAGCTACAGCTTGCTTTGATTGCTCTCCTTCCACTACTGAAAAAGCTATTTGATTTTCATCATCAAATGCAATATGGACAATAATGAGAATTAGGATGCTAAAAGAAGCAATTGCTTTGACCCCAATATTCTACCAATATTTTTCAAAACCAGTAATAAATAATTACTTTATGGAACGTTTGATTCACGGAATGTAAGATTACCGGCGGTAATAGGATTACCGGAATATAACATTACCTAATGTTGCAAATTATTGTGTTTGGTTCGTTTAGCAGGAATGTAAGATTACAGTGTTTGGTTAAAGGAATAAAAGATTATTAGGATGTATATTTTACCAAATTGTCATTATTATATATTTGTTTTTTTAACAAGTTGAATTATACTATAATTTTACTATAATTAATTATATATTTTCTTTAAAAATTTTAAATTCATAAAATTTATATAATTTTTTTTACAAAATTGAAAAGATAAATATGTTTAATGAAATGGTAAAATTTTATTTTAACCCCTGGACTTCATATAAAATTCTAATTATGGACCTTTTTTTGTAAATCTAAAATAGTTTAAGGATAAATTTACAATTTAACCTTCGTAGAATTTTTTTTATTCAACGACATAAGAATTGTATTTTTGAAAAAAAAAATTAAGGGCATTTTAGTCCAAAATACCGATAATATAACAATACCTAAGGGAATGGAAGAATCACATTCCCGGTAATAAGTGAATAAATGTTCAAATGTTAAAGATGACATTATTAAGAGAAATGATCATGAACCGTGAATATAAACCTTACAAAATTCAAACATCAAAGTTAAAAAATACTTGAAATCAGTGTAAAAAGAGCAAAGATATGGGGGATAGAAAGTGGGATTCTATATGTCATCTAAGCCACATCATGAGATCCTCATCCTCACGAATAAAAAGGCCCCTCTAAGCACCAAAATAAATAAATAAATGAAGAATCATTGCATGGCTAAATCAAAGTATCGATCAGCCTATTGTTCCTTTGCTTGCATCTCTATTTTCTTTCCTCCTCTTGGAAGTCTTCAACTGTTGAGGAGAATGTCGTCTGGTTCGAGATCATTCATTTCGAAGGGTCTCACGATTTCGTTTCAAATGATCTCGGACCAGGCTTCATTCCCCCTAACTTGAGATATCTCGTGAATCCAATCCCATATTAAGGACAGGAGAAGAGGGTCGTGAATGCATGGATTAACCAGACGATTAGAGGGTTGAAACCCTGATATTCCTTTTCTTTTTGTTGCATTGATGAAAATCTTAGGTCAGTAGCTGCTGTTCTTGTTAGTGTTTTCAAGCTTTATTAAGCACTGAAATGTCAGATTAGTTTTGATCCATTTTTTTCATAATGCTGTTTTTTGCTTACTGGAAGCAAATTTTGAGGGATTGTTCTTGAATTTTCCCTGGAATCTTTGCTATTGATATGATGTTCTTAAGAAGAATGCCTGCAGATATATGTGTGTGTATGTGTATTCACCATATTCCCAAAGAATTTTGGATTTTCAAGTGATAATAAGCATTTGGGTAAAGTACTCCAAAGGTCACTGGATTATGCTTGAACGATCTTTTTAGTCATTAAACTTTCAAAAGTTATAAAATGATCACTATATCAAACTATTACAAAATAATCATCAGAATGTTACAAATAATCATTAAATTTATCGAATTATTATAAAATTATCATTAAATTTATCCAATTGTTGTAAAATGGTCATTGAACTCTCTTAAGCCTTTTCTCTATATTTGTTAAATTCATCGGGAAAACAATAATTCGAATCGAGTTCAATCATATCGTGCGAAAACATGTCTAAAAAAAGAAATTAAAGAAGAAAAAAGCTATGTTTGATCTTTTTGCAGTTGATTTTCTTTTTTGTGTTCTAAATTAGCTTTGCTTGTGGAGAGTTGCAAAGAATATAAGGTTAGGAGGAGCTTTAACTTTACTAGTTGCATGAGAGGGAGATATTCCCCTATCAAAGTAAAGCTTTCAATTTACTCCTTTTTTTCACCTTATGACTGCCCCATTAATCATAACCCTTCCCTCACCTTTTTAATGTATAATTTATAAGATAATATATATTCGAACAATTTAAAAATAAAATTTATCGTTAAAAAATCAAATTAATTATTTTTTAAAATAAAAAGTATAAACAAATTGTAATAATATAAGAAATGACATCATATGGAGAAACCTAATTGTAATAATAATTAAGAGTGGTCAAAAGACATGAGAGACATCTTGAGTATGCATTACAACAAAAGTGATTCCTACGCTCCATAAAGTCATATATTACCTTTATTTTATTTTATTTTCAAAATTAAAGATGAGGTTTTTAAATATAATTTGAATTTATCGATTGGTCTCGATTGTAAAGAAAATATTGTTTTTATTAGAGGATCTGAATTCGAATAGTTACGTTTGTATTGTGTGTGCGTATTGTCAATAGTTAAAAAAGATTCTTAACAAGTGTTACATTGTATTCACCCTGTATTATTAAAAATAAGGATACACAGTCAATTAGGGTTGTTAACGAGTTTAGTTAAGTTCGAATATTGTTATGCTCGATTCGACTCGAAAAGTTCAAAGTTGATCTCGACTCAAAAGCTCATGAGCTTAAATTTGACAAACTCGACTTGAATTCAAAATAAAAAATTGAAGCTCGACCCGAGCTCGAAAAAACTTGAACTAGAAACGTTCTCAGACTTAGCTCGATTGAAACTCAAACTCGAACACAAACTTGAACCTTAAGTACATGAAAATCTTATTTTGCATTAAAAATACAACATATAAACGTTAATATTATTTATAATTTAATTTAAAACATTGAAAGTTCAATATACTATTTTTCGAGTTGCTCGTGAGTTTTCCAAGTCGGATATTAAGTAGTTTGCTTTGATTCGTTAAGAATTCAAGTCGAATTCACTCAATTTAAATATTAACTGAACTTTAATCAAATCAAACTCGAATAACTCGTTGCTATTTGCATGATATCATTTACGGCCCTACTTTCAACATTATATTTTCTTGAGGTTCATACATTAGATTGAAAGCCCATTTGAATAAATCAAGTAAATTTGATCAACAGAATTGGGCCCTAAAATGGTTAGACGAGATACCCTTCCGGCTGAGGTCACCGATCAAACTGTCCCACGTATGGACGTATAATTAGGGATGTATTTTTGATTCGGACTTGACGAGTTCTAATTTAAATCGATTTTATAAATTTATTTAAAAAAAATAGGTTCGATTTAAGGTGCATGTTTTTATATGAAAATTCAAGTTTGATTTCGGATGAAATTCAGGTGGAACAAAAACCTAATCCGACCTATTGTTATTCCTAAAGATAACTAAAAAAATTCTAAATCAAAATTTATAAAAACAATTAATCAATTAAAACGAATTATCTATCATTGTTTTATATATGCTAAATACCTGAATTTAGTAAGCTAATGAAATAAAAATTATAAAAGTAAAAATAGATAAATAATTCAAATATATGATTTGGATATACATAAATAAAATAGATTGAAATATAAAAAAAATATAAATTCAAATTCATTATCCATATACCAAATATTACGAATAATAATAAAAGTAAAAAATAATAATATCCAAATTCCATATCCTAGTGGATAAAATCTCTTTATATATATATATACACACACATATGAATCAAGGAGGCTGCAGTCACGGTTGTAGGATGTAAATAATTGAGTTTAAACAAATAATATTATATTTGTGTTTATTTATTTATTTTTAAAGATATTTATAATCATTTTTTGTTCATTTAAATTTTTAATGTCACATTTATATTTTTTGTTTATTATTTATTTTTAAAAATATTTATATTCAATTCATTTAGTGTTCCAAACATGTTCCATCCGCACCCTTTTCCTATACTTTAATTCACAAGTCAAAGAAAAATGGTGGAATTACAACTTTAATTCTTAATTCTCTTAGGTTTCACAGTTTGAGCTCCAAAATTCACCTAGTGTTCAGCTTAGTCCCTTCACCAATATTTAAAATGTGAAAAAATAAAAGGAAAAAAGAATGGGTAAACGAGCTTGTTTCTGAATGTAAACGAATCAAATATATTTGTGTTCATTCGTTTATTAAATTAACATAAAAATTTTGTTCATATTTATTTATTTATCTTAATAAACAAACATTTTACGAATGATTCATCGAACTTTCTGTTCATTTACATCCCTAGACAGTCGTCTCCTGAATGTCATCTATTGTCGCCGTTGAAAATTTTATAACTTCGACACTCCTAGAATTTTATAAAGTCAATCATGCTTTCGGACGGACTATTTTGTTAATGATTATAATATAAAGGGATTAATATACTTATTTTCCGAGTATATGAATCAAAAATGTAATCTGATAACTTTTATGATAGTTTTACCCTGTTATGTGTTTATTTTGGTCACTTGGGATGTCATTATATACTTATCAACGTGGCAATACCTGTACCTCATGCTGCAGAATCCTTCAAAAAGCTTGGAATCCACCTTCATTTCCATCAAACCTGTTGCAACTTGCAGTTCCAAACAAGATTGCTGATCCATGGCCATGGCGGCACCCACTTTTAGCTTCAAAACAATTTCTTCTCTTCTTTAATTAGCATTTCTTCGTTTCCTGTGCACGTTATATAAATAAGCTGCCAAAGGGATTATATTTATCGTCGGTCGCCATAGATCATAGCTTCTTTCTTCTCAGCTTTTGGTTTTTTTCCTGTAATTTTATTCTTCTTCTTTCTGCATCTGCATTCATCAGAATTTTCATATGATTTTATTCGTTTCTTATTTGCTATGATTTACTGTTTCTTTTTTCTGTTTAGCAGTTGATTTATGTGGTGAAGCTGCAGTAAGAACATCTGTATTATGTTACTAGAATTGGGATATGAGTATGCCTAAGTTTCATGATATTGAAATATTCGAATATGTGTAGGATATGGATACAAAATGTTATGTTTCTCTACATCTTCATCATCTTCTTCAATAGAATGGAATTTGGATGCTTAATATTGGATTTCAATGGTGGAATTGCATGTGATGTTGATTTAAAACCCAGATCTTTTTTTTCGAAATTTCGAAAAATATTTGTTGATTAAGTTATATATATATCCATGGTGGTTCACTTGAAATGTTCTGTGAGATCAAATTCACGTTCCATGTAATTTAACTGCTGCTGTACATGTCTATATGTTCTTGCCGCGTGACATAAACTTCCCTTGGATTTCAGGGTTGCGGACTGAAGGAATCATCGAACGAAACCGAACATGGAAAAAGAGAACATAGAACCATTGACCGAGAGAAGGACGAGCGATGAACTCGGTGCAGGTGCAAATGCAGCTTCAACGATTGTCATGAATTTCGTGGCCACCGATCGCTTGTCCGAAATAGTTTGGTCTCCAAACAAAGGTCTCTGCCTCAAATGTACGGAGTGCAGCAATATGTTGAATAAACATTCCCTTCTCCGGGCTGCAGGACCGAGCAATATGGTGAATCAGCAAACCAATACATCCTCCTCCACATTCCTTGATCTGAATACTAAAGTTTCCGAGAACCATGAAGAGATACCATCAGCGAAGGTGTCCACTGGCAAGCATTCTCCAACTAATAGCGGAATCCATAGACGCAGAAGAAAAGGAAAGGAGAAAGCTATATCTGATGGAGATGTTAAAGGGATGATGTCGAAAGATGAGGATGATGACAGCGACGAGAGTGTCGAAAGTTGTAACAGTGCTGCATTATTCTCTACAGGAAAAAAACGGAAGGGCTTTGAGCAAGAGTTGATTTTTGGGAGCAAAAGAGTGAAACAAGACAGTCCCTTTATGAACTGGATATCAAACATGATGAAAGGGTTCTTGAAAGCGAAAGATGAGATGCCGTTGCTTACGCTTACTGCTGCAAATACTAATAAGTCACATGGGAGCGACATGAAGAATCTTGATGCAGGCAATAAGAACCAAGATCCGGGGTGCAGAAATATCGGTTTCCAATCTATTTTTCACACCAAGGTTCTAGGAACATCACAAATTGAAACTGATCAAGTCGGACTCGATCCAACTAACAAGATCTGTGACATCAATGCTACTTCAGTCACCTGTCATGGAGAAAACTTTAACTTCCTTAATGTGTTTAATGAAAGGTTCAAAAAACCAATTTGTGGTGACAGGGTAGGTCCGAGCAAGAGAAGTAGAGAGGGAAATATTGTACAGAATACGAGCTCGAACGATTTTCCTGTGGATGTGAGAAAGGAAAGAGCAAGCACTAGTTCTTCTTTAGGTAAACTAAAAATGAACATCAAGAACATTGATCTGGACACACCATCAGAAGCAAAGACGGTTCAAAACAGTGGTCACAAAAGTAACCCTCCAGGGAGCTTGTGGATAACTCGGTTTACTCCCAAGTCTTTTAGCTCGTCATTGAGCCGGGATACTGCTGGCGCTGTTGGGTGCTTTAGTGACTTCATGAAGCATACTCCTTGCTGCCAGAACAATGTTAATGTACCTAACAACCTCAAGACTCTGGGGACCAGGCAGCAAGGCCCCAAAGAGCAGCTAACCAATTCGGATAAAGAATTGCCTTCTGCTACTGAAATGGAGGCATCCGTTACTATTGGTTTACACTGCCTTAGATCGAAAGATTCAGAGGTGATGGCTTCTCTTTACTGTAGGAGTTTAGATGATGCTCTCAAGCACATCATACCTTCTTGTGTTTTCGACAATCAAACCTCGTCGACCGTCACCTGTTTCTTTTGTGGAAGGAAGGGTCATCATTTGGAATGTTGTTCAGGGATAACAGATAATAAGATTGAATATCTGAAGAATATGAAGTCATCTAATAGATTCGAAGAATTACCTTGCTCGTGTGTTAGATGCTTTGAACTCGGTCATTGGGCTGTCATATGCCCTACTGCATCAAAAGTCCAACATCACTCAGAATGTAGAGCTTCTTATTCTAGTTTCGGTGAACTGTCATGTTATGCAAGATTTGAAGAGAATACGAAACTTTTAGACAAAAACCAAGAAGCGATTCGGATTGAAACCGGAAAAGGCCCCCGTACTCTCTATGAAGTAACTGCAGACAAAAAGAAATCAAACACAAATGTGAAAAAGATTCATGTAGGTTCCTGTTCCAAGGAAATCAAACCTTGGGATAATTTCACCAATCAGCATGATACAGATACACCAAAGGTAATATTCGATGCTGTGAGGATGCTTCGTTTGTCACGGGCAGACATCCTGAAGTAAGTAGAATAGTAGATCATCATTTCCATTAGTAAAATCATATAAAACCATGGAAACTTGATTGTAGAGCATATAAAAGAGTGGGTACTGAATATGACCACTAATGTCTTTCTATGTTACCTAATTTAATTGTTCATTTCAATTTTCAATGCTGCGTCGATGTCAGGTGGAAGAATTCACGAACATCAGTCCCACATCTCGAAGGATTTTTCCTGCGACTGAGGCTCACGAAGTGGGAGCAAGGATTAGGAGGAACAGGATATTATGTTGCCTGCATAACTGGTATGACATTGTATCGCTTGTTGTTTATCATTGATTAATGATGGATTATTTGCATGTTGTTAGCAAGTTATTGATGCGTAAGTTTTTTAGAGGCATGATGCTATCATTTTCCTTCCTGTAATTGCCCAGAGGGAAACAAACAGGGCACCCAACGAGATTCGAAGAACTCCATTGCTGTTAACGTGGGGGGAATCGAGTGCTATGTCGAGAGCCAGTACATCTCCAACCATGATTTTCTCGAGGTAAGACTCAACTTCCATAGTTCATTATGCTTGCTTGAGAGTCAAGCATGTTAATTGCATTACTCCTAAGATGACTGTCCACTTTCTAGTTTATTAGTTTGACAATATGGTCCGACAACATATCTCAGGATGAGCTTACGGCATGGTTGTGGGCAACCAAAAAGAGCGGCGGAAAGATTCCATCGGAAGAAGAACTGACGGTTAGAGTGAAAGAGAGAAGAATGCTAAGGTTTTAGGGCCTTTTTATTTCAGGTTCAGCTGTTGATGTGTGTTATCTTGTTTTCACAGAACTTGTGAGGTAGTCAACAATAGTGTGAGAAACCAAACAAGTATACAACAGTTGCCTTGACACTACTACATGCAAAACACATTTGGATTATTTAGTCATTATGTTCACAGACCCGATAATGGCATTTAAAGACTCGGTTAACACGGATTTTGGTCGTTTTCAACCGACTGCAAATTACTTTCCAGGCCACTTTGAGCAGGATATAACACGACCGAGGTAAATGAAACTACTATACGCATACGTTTGACTCACTTTTCTGATAAGCTTACGAGGAGGATCAAATTATATAAGCATTTTCATCCAGAAAATTTGTTCTTAAGCACCTACAATTTTCACCCATAATAGTGCATCGTTCCAATAGTAAATCGTGAAGGTCATCTACAATGTTTAACGAGATTTTACTGTCACAACAAATCCGATACGATTCTGGTTGTGCTTCTGGTCCTAGCAGTGCTAAACATATGTTAGAAAGCGAACCTGGCAATCTCCTCATCTTCATCCTCATCATTTATAAGATCTTCATCCTCTTCGCTGAACCTCACATAATCATCATCTTCGTCCTCTGGTTTTTCTACTTCATCTTCGGGATTCATCATCGACTTCCTTCTTTCATCTTTGTCTTTCAAACCAGTACTCAAGACAACAGTTTCACCTCTTGATTGTTCCATATCCCTCCTCAACTTATCCATGCTCTCTTTCTGGCGTTCTTCCTCTAAGCGTTGTTTTTCTGCTCGTCTCTTGTCGAGGTCAGCCCTATAAACAAGGACAGCAAGGTACACATAACTTTCGGGAAATACCATAAACTTTTAAAACGTTCCCAAACTGATTTCGCAAGATTTAAAGAGAGAGGCAATACTTATAATTTTCCATGTAATCCTCAGCACTGGCTTCAACGGCTTTAAAGAATTCATTCATTCCAGCCCCAGAAATAGCCGACACTCCAACAGATCGTAAATTCCTATAAAATTCATCCAGAGAGAGGGACAGGCTCTCAGTTAGAGCTGACGTGTATGTAGTATCCGACCTTATTGCCGCTTGAAATGTCTCGAAATCTTCCATCCACTGCACAAATGATTTGTTTTTCATTTTAAAGACAATAAATTGATAAGAAAGCAAACAGCATTACCTATATTTGCATGTCAACAAATGGATGATTGATAAAATTCGGGAAAAGTACAACACATAACCTAACAATTATAACAAATATGAAATTAAATGGAAGCAATTTACAAGATATTATCTAAATGCCAAAACAAAATATTTGCATCTAAAATGGAAATTAAATATACCTCCAAAGCAAACTCATGTTGTGCAACATCCGTCTTGTTGAATGCCAACACAAGAGGCAACTGCGTCTTGTAAAGTATGCTACAAGCATAAAGCATGTTGCTCATGAAGGTAACCGGACTTGCTGAACGAGGCGTATCAACTACATAAGTTACTACAGTAGGAAATGTTGAAGCAAATGCCTCTGTAATGATAGCCCCTGAAGCAGACCAGGTAAATATCTCAATCTGCCCAGGAGTATCCACAAGAACATAGTCAAGTTGATCTGCTCGCCTCTCAATAACCGAGATAACCTGAGATTGGGTATTTGCAAAGTCAACCACCTTAAATGACAATGGAAAGGTGTAAAAAAGGAAAAAAAAAATAAGTAAAAATATAACAAGCACATCAATGGAGAGAATAAAGATGATAAAAGCAGCTACTACGACAACTCTGCAGATACATGCATTGATGCAAATTAACTTGAGACAAAAAAACAGCTACTAAGACAATTCTGCATGTACATGTATCGATGCAAATGACCTCTTTTTCTAAATAAATTATGCATAAATATGCAACAAATTTGAAGTAAAATCTATGTAGTACATAAACTTCACAACGACGCTAGCCATTTTCCAGTGGAAACAGGTTGTCCAAGCACCAAAAGTCTTGGCATTGTTTCGACAGTTCACGTCACAAAATATAATACAGAAATTTCAAAAGATTTTACCTCTGCAAACTTGGTAGCAAACAAATTAAGTGATGTCAGGATTCCACCATTAGGTCCGAGATTGAACTGCTTCATAACTTCCTTATATTTAACGGTATCTCTTATATCAATATTAGCACCAAATGGAAGGGTCATTACAGCAGGATCAAGATTCATCACATAACCCCTAATATTTGAAGCTTGAGTGTGGCAAACCAGCCTATGAAGGAATGTCGTTTTCCCACTCCCTAATCAAATCAAACAGCACATTTCAACATCCAAACATACTCAAACAACTTACCAGTAACTTGAATTTCAATTAGAGACCAAGATATGCAATGTATAACAAAGATTTAAAAAAAAACCCAATTCAAGTTTCTTGTTTTACCAGCCATTCCAACAACAATAATAATAACTGGCTTTCTCTTGAAACCGTTTGAAGACGACTCAATATTTAACTTGTCCATGATACCAGCAAGCTGCTCCTTCTCATCACTGTCCCCCTATATCATGATAAGGCAAATAACCCGATACCAATTGCTAGAATTACCCACCTTTAAAAACAATAAAAGAGTTACCCTTGTTTATTTTCAATTGTTTCACTAGAAATTACTTCATAAAAAGGAGAACATAATTAGTTACCTTTGTTTTCAATGATTCCTGGGAATCTATTTTCATTGAAATGCCTTCTTCTGGGGTTTTAACATTTGGTTTTCCCGACCCCGAATCAATTTCCATCTTCAACCAAATCAAGCTATTTCTGAATAAAAACAAAACCCAGATAATATTTACAAGATTTATGATCAAAATAACAACAAAGGAGCTGACTGTTAAGCAAAAACCCAGAAAAAATGGAGAAAATAATAGGAGGAATCCGCAGAAAGAGGATGAAAACGAACCTCTTTGCGCCTTTACTGAAATTATTGAAATGCTGTCGAGCTACAGGGGCTTCCACCTCCCGGATTGTGAGGGAATGATAGAACCAGGGTTTTAAGCATTTTATATACACAGAAAATGGGTTGAAGGTCCGTAAAGAATTTATTGCCCCTATGGCATATACAACAATATAGTTGGTATAATAACATTCTTAATACCCTAACTTATATATTCTATCAATTATATCCTAATTTGAAACAATTCAATAAATTTAACCTTTCCTATTTAAAAGTTTCATATATTTTAATACTATCAAAACAACAACAACAACAACAACAACAACAACAACAAAACCCAATTCCCATATGTATGGGGTAAGGGGGAGGTAGGGTAGTAGGCTACCCCCAACGCCAGGTTGAGAGTAACTTCCGTGGAAGACCTCCGGCAGTCAGAAAATTAAAAATTTAGATAAAATGCAATGCATGTATAAATAAATACATAAATACATAGCTAAACAGTATTCATATGCAGTCATTAAAATCATATGTGCGTCTGTAACGGGAATTAATCCCTGCATAATAATCCCTGCGAAAGAATCTCTGCATATAGACATAAACATAAGATAAGATCCGGCTAAATTTAAAAGAGGAAACATGAAGAGAATGACACACAGAAGGCAACGTTAGCAAGCCCAGTTCTAATCCTTCATAAATACCAATAACAGAAACGTATAAAAAGTATAAGTCATGGAAAATACTACAAAGACATTAAAAGAAGACAGAGATGATACACCCTATAGATGTGACCCACACTACTCGACTACCCTAGTCTTTAGCCTCCATATTTTCCTATCAGAGGTCATGTCTTAGGTAAGGGCTAAATCCCTCAAATCAGATCTCAAGCAGTCTTCCCACTTTCGCCTTGGTCGTCCTTTCCTTCTGGCACCGTCGACTGTAATCGACTCTACCCTCCTTACCGCATCCGACGGTAGTCGCCTAAGGACATGCCCAAACCACCGTAGTCTTCCCTCCTCAATTTTTCGGAAACAGACACCACCCCCAAGGACATCCTAATAGCAGAGTTTGTCGTCATATCCCTCAGAGTCTTACCACATGTCCATCGAAGCATTCTCATTTCTGCGGCCTCAATCCTCCTTACGTGATCCTTCTTGGTTGCCCAACATTCTGATCCATACAACAGCGCTGGTCTTATTGCCATTCTATAAAATTTTCCCTTAAGTTTTAGAGGGACCTTCTTGTCACACAGAACTCCAGTAGCGGCCCTCCACTTTAGCCATCCCGCCTTTATACGGTGTGTAACGTCATCATCTACACCCCCATCTTTATGTATCATAGACCCTAGGTACTTGAAACAATCCTTTGAGGGGAGAACATGTCCTTCTATGCATACTTCTACATCTTCATCGTTTTGGTTCCCATTGAAGTTTGAACATAAATACTCTGTCTTTTCAATATTGATCCTTAAACCTTTTTCTTCCAAAGCAGTCTTCCAGGTAGCCAGTCTACTATTCAACGCAGATTTTGTTTCAGCAACTAAGACAATGTCGTCAGCGAAAAGCATACACCATGGTACACCGTCTGGTGTCGCACAATAGATGTCGTCCATGATCAAGGCGAAGATGTAAGGGCTAAGAGCCGACCCCTGGTGGAGTCCGATTTCCACCGGGAATGCCTCGGTGTCGCCAACTGTAGTCCTGACGTAAGTAGTAGATCTACAGTACATATCACGAATCGCCCGGATATAAGCAGTTAGGATCCGTCTCGTTTCAAAAGTCTTCCAGATCGTATCGCGGGGAACGCTATCATAAGCCTTCTCAAGGTCAATGAACGCCATGTGAAGATCTCTAGACTTTTCCCTATATTTCTCCATAAGCCGTCGAAGTAGATGAATCGCCTCCGTGGTAGACCTGCCTGGCATAAAGCCAAATTGGTTTTCCGAAACCCTAGTAACTTGTCTCAACCTAGCCTCTATCACCCTTTCCCATAGCTTCATGGTATGGCTGAGGAGTTTAATACCTCTGTAGTTACCACAACGATGGGGATCTCCTTTATTTTTATAGATTGGTATCACCGTAGACTCTCTCCACTCCTCTGGCATCTTGGCAGTCTCTAGAATAATATTAAAGATGTTGGTCAACCACTTAACTCCCTCTTCTCCTAGGGCCAACCACACAGTGATAGGAATTTGATCAGGACCGACAGCTTTGTCCCTTCCCATCTTTCTAAGAGCCATTTTGACTTCCTCAAACCCAATCCTACTTGTAGGGCAGTCATTGGCCGTATTATGATAGTCGGCTAACCCATCAACGATACTATCTCTACATGGAGAGGCACCGTCATTAAATAAGCCAAAGAAGTAACTACCCCAAACCCTCTTAATATCGTGATCTTTCGCTAAAAGAACACCATTGTTGTCCTTAATAAACCTAATGTTACCTAGATCCTTTTTCCTAATCTCCCTAGATTTTGCAAGTCTGAAGATGCCATTTTGTCCTTCCTTGGTGTCTAATCTCTTGTACATTTCCTCGTATGCCTTATCCTTTGCTTTAGCTACCGTTTTCTTGGCTTCCCGCTTTGCCTCCTGGTATCTTTGTTTAGCTCTCGACCTTTCTTCGTCGTCATTGCATTGTAGAAACTCCTTGAAGCAAGTTTGTTTTGTCTTCACCTTAGTTTGGACTTCGTCGTTCCACCACCACGATTCTTTATGTTCCTTGGCCTTCCCCGTCGACAACCCAAGGGTATTTTTGCCAACATCTCTGATGGAATTTGCCATATTTTTCCATAACATATCTGCATTTTTTGAGTTTGTAGTTTCAAAACTTGTATTAGACAAAACCTTACTCCTAAAGTCATCAGTTGTCGCTCCATGTAAGTTCTTCCAGAGGATCCTAGGTTTACCAAGTTTAGCCCTTCTATGAGTGCTCCGCCCGTGGGGTACGCGATACACCAAAACCAACAATTTGTGTTGTGATGCACATGCCTCTTCAGGGAACACCTTACAGTCAATGCAAGCCCATCGTTCCTGATTTCTAATCAAGATGTAGTCGATTTGGGTACAATGTCCCCCGCTATGAAACGTAATCAAGTTCGCATCTCTCTTATTAAAGAAGGAGTTAGTGATCACCAAATCGTGAGCAGTAGCAAAATCAAGCAACGTACGCCCCCCATCGTTCCTGCTACCATAACCGAAACCCCCATGAACACCGTCATACCCGTCGGTTGCACTTCCTATATGGCCATTGAAGTCTCCCCCTATGAAAACTCTTTGGTCCTCCGGAATGCTCCTAAGTATATCATCTAACTGATCCCAGAAGCAACGTTTCTCCCCCTCCCCTAGGCCAACGTGTGGGGCGTACACTGAAAGGACATTCACTACTTCCTCTTTTATAATAACCTTAATCATCATGATCCTATCCCGGTATCTGCAAACTTCAACTACATTTTCCTTGTGCCTAGAGGATGCCAAGATACCCACCCCATTTCTAGCGTTATCTACGCCTGAATACCACAACTTGTACCCATTACACTCTCTTGCGCGAGACCCTTTCCACCTAGTCTCCTGAATACATGCAAAATCTATTTTTCTATTATTAAGTACGTCGGTCAGCTCCAGCAGCCTAGCATTTAATGTGCCTACATTCAGCGAGCAAACTCTTAATCTAGTCTCCTTGTCACCACTCTGTCGAGCCCTCCCCCTATACGCCCCATGGGATCTAAAAGAATGACATGACCTCAAGTAATCATCTGTAACCGAAGCTATGAGGAACTATGAAAAAAGAATCCAAATAAGACAGAAGATGCACTAATAAAACGCTAGAGAATTGAGGAGTACTAAAAATCCTAGTTGGTTACTTAATAGGATTTTAAGAAAAAATAATACTATCTTATTTAACTATAGGTCAATATCTAGAAACTATAATTTAAAATGTTTAATAAATATCCGAGCTAAGCAAAAAAGGATTAAAATTGTAACACGAGATATAAGAGTAATGAAATCCTACTCAACTAATTGAAAAACATCAAACCCAAAGCTGGTAAAAAAAGATTAGTATAAAAACAAGAGAAAAAACAGCAAGAAGCTAAGTCAAAGAAAGCAGATCCAACAACAACAAGATTAAGAAATATTAAGTACAAAAATATGCAAGGGATATGCAAAACAACGACAGCTAAAAGGGATATATCAAAATTCGTGGATGCGAAATTAACAATCTTTGTTCAGATAAAAATCTGATAAAAACCGTGCTATAACACAAAATCAAACCTTTACCTATCAAGAAATTAGCATGCAAAATCTTATGAAATTAGAAGAAAAAGAGAAAACCCAGAATTTTTATTCAGAAATTAAACCGCTGAAGAAGGCAATCGTTGCTCTACGAGGAAGGTGGTCCGATCGAACTGCAAGGCGGAAGAAATTGAGCCTGGAAATGGAACGATTTATTACGGACCTCTGAGTTGGAGTGACAAAATTATTATTCTACCATACTATGTCAATATAGCATGATCATTATACCCTTTTTAAAGATGACATGTTTATTAAAGTTTAGCGTCAATTGAATTGAGTCGAGTCGAATTGACGAGTTTTATTTTATAATTTAAACTTTATTTAATTTTTTTTTCAAATCAAATCGATTTTATAAAATTTTATCTGAGTCAAGTTGTTCGAGTTTATGTCTAAATTTAATTGTAAATATTTATAATATTATAGTATTATTTGATTTCAATTTAAACATGTTTCTATAACTATGTACAATACATATATATTTTTCATATTTTTTTATATACGGTGTACACATTCATATAGAACCGATAGACTCGACTCAAACTTAAAAATCAATCCACTAATTATTAAAAATATTATAGTTATTCGAGCTATTATTCAAGTTCTATTTCATAACTCAACTTGAATTTGAATTTTTTTTAGTCAAGTCAAATTTATGAAATTACAACTTGAAGCTAATTTATATCGAATTTTTTAGAGTTGAATTTAATTAAAAAGATCAATTTTTTGAGTCAAGTTAGATTTTATTTACCCCTATCGTTTATTATCGAACATTTAATTGGTTTGATGGGCATTTTACTTTATAAAATATGAATCTAATTGTTTTATATCAATATTTAATAAATTTATTTGTCACGTTAATAAAATTAATTATTAATAAAAAAAAATGTTAACGACAGTAAAAATTTGAACTAAAATTTGACCCAAAACAAAAACTAAACCCCAACCCAATTGCAAGCCCAATGTTGATACCTAAAGATCAGATTTTTAGGGTTTGCAGATTATATATAAATATAAGCAATTTATCATAAGCATTTCTACATCGTCCGCCTCCCCAGTAAAACACTTAGCGGCGACTGCTGGAGCTTCAGAACTCCAAAGCAGTCAACCATGGTGGTATAGCATCTGTCCCTTTGTTATTGAAAAACCCCAAAGCGCCAAAGGCCGAGCGCTTCCCCCGTGAAACAAGGGGTGGCGTGGTATTCCACGGGGAGAGGTTGTGGCGCACGTAAGTGCGATTGGCGCATATTAACACCGTTTCTTTTTTTTTCTCGGTGAGGGATTCCATGGCCGCTTTGCTACTTTAGTTCTAGTAGTCGAAGCGAGGGTATTGCCCTATATTTCTTCATATATTCCTTTATTTTTTTCACACCAGGTTTTGAAAAAAAATCATATGTTTTGTCTCAAGGAATTAGTTGATAGTATTCGATCACTTTACATTTAAACTGGGATGCCACAGATTGAGTAATTATGTGATTTGTTCTTCGTTTTTTTATGCAATTTATTAATCTTTTAACCCAAGAAAATATATGCATAAGCAACGCATCCATGTCCAACCACAGATCATTATGCTCAACAGATCAATGTGTTTATAAAAATAATTCTAGATTTACCTGATGAGGACGAAGACAAAAGAAGCTTGGAGAATTAAGCAATCCCAGGAGGCACAGTGGGGAAAGATTACTTGAAAGTTCAAAGGTCCATTCAATTGTGAGGTAATCTAGTTGAAGCCATTGCCGAAGTATAAAAGCTGACAAAATTGGTATTCTATTGAGTCAAGGTTCGGAAAAGACAAGCATAAATCAGTGTGGAATGCCCTGGATTCATCAACCCTGATCCGCTTGAAAATAAGCCATCCATTGCTGGTTTTGTTGGTAAAGTTATTGATGGAAGAATTGGAGCTCCTCAACTAGGGCAAGTGAATTTTGAAAAAAAAAAGCAAAAGAAATTTAAAATATTGAAATAAGGGTTAAAAACATTATTGATAATTTTTCTTTTATATTATGTTCAGTTTTTTCTTGTTTTTGTTTATGTTTTGCTTATTTTTTCTTATTATTTAAAAAAAATATAATATTTTATTATTTTTTTATTTAGTTAAGATATGATCATAAAAGATTAATTTTCAATAGATCTTTAATGAATTATTAATTATTGATGTGACAAATGATTTTATAAAATTAAAAAAGATAAATTACACAAATGATCGATATTTGAGTAAGTTATTTTTTTTAAAAATAAAATATCAACACGTTTCTTTCTCTCTTTTTTTCTTCTTTGTAAATTTGCAGTATAAACCACTAAACTTTAAACAAGTAAATCTATGTGACAGTTTATTTGTTTATACTGCAAATTTATAAAGAAGGAGAAATATGTTGATTTGTTTTTAAAACTATTAAATTTATTTAAATATTAGTATTATTTATATAGTTTATCCGTTTTAATTTTATAAATTTACTTATTATGTCAGTCTAATAATAGTTAATATTCAATAATTAAACTTAATTAAATAAAAACTTAAGAACGATAGTGACTAAAAAATATATTTTTCAAAATTAGTGAAAAAAATGGATAAAATATAAACAAAAGTGATCAATAATGTAGTTAAGCTTTAAAATAAAATAAAGAAAATGACTTTTGTAACTTAGGATAATAAATTTAAAGAAAATGTTAAAAAAAGTTTTTGATGTTGATTTATGAAAAGTAAGGGTATGGTACATAAATATGGTATTGTAGTGTCTCCTAGTTATTAAAAGTATAAAATCGTTTATTAATTATAGAGTATTATTTTGTCGAGTCTCATAACTATTAGAAATTATAAAATAATTACTTGATTATTCGTGTGTTTCAAACTTGTTATTTTCTGTTAAAAATTATTGGTATTATTGAGTTGGATATTAACTTGTTGATCAAGATATGATAAAATCCGATCTTATAACTGTTTGAGTTGTATTTTATAGATCAAGTATCATTTTACGTTATGTTAGGAGACCATTTTATGATTTTTGATAGTTAAGAGATTCAACAAAATAATATTTTATAGTTAAGAGATCATTTGTGTATTTATCCAGAAAAATAAATTTATTAGTGATTTTATTGAAGTTATTGGTAGTTATCAACAGTTTTATTAAATTGGTTCTCATTCGTTGAATTTTTTATTAATTATTATATATTTTTTAAATTAGTCTTTGAATATTTAATTTTTTCCTATTAAACAAATAAACTCTAAATAAGAAGAAAGATAAAATCTTGTCTTTTCCTCTAATATATAAACTGAAAAACAAGGGGGACGCATAAAAGCGATAAAGATCAAAGTTTTTAAAATTAGGGAAAATAGATTGTTAAACTATGTTTCGATATAATAATTTAAGGTAAAATGGATTTTGGATTTGAATTGAATTTACAAAATGTATTTGGACTTAATTGAATTTATTCAAAATTTACAAAAATAATTCAAAGTTCTTTTAATTTAAAATTGAGCACAAAAATGTTTTTATGAATAGTAATTAACTATTTGAACAGTAAATTACTATTTGAACAATAAATCACTGTTTGAACAGTAACCCGAGGCTCAAAAATTCCAATATGTAAAGGGTATCGATTCCCTCACTGTTCATCAGCCCAACGGTCATAATATTTGAATATTATGAAGGGGTATCGATTCCCTATGAAGGGGTACCGATTCCCCCCATTCTGGGCAGACTATTTTTGCAGAAAAATCATTCTCAAACGGCTCAAAAACATCTCCAACGGCTAGATATGACTTCAAACACATTCCAAGCTATAAATACAAGCTAAGGACACTTGAAGAAGTAAGAGAACAACTATCAAAGTAATCAAACACAAGAGAAGAGTTTTTCATTCTTATTTCATCTTTCTCTTGTAAATATTTTGTTCTTGTGAGCTTAATTCTTGTAAACACCTACCTTAGAGAGGTTTTATTGTTTACATCTTTTATCCTTTTGTAAAGGGGAAAGGTTCTAGCTTAGCACGTGTAAAAGCTAGGGAAAGGTTCTAGTTTAGCCTGGAAAAACTAGGGAGTTTATAAGGTTACTATTTATCCTCAAAAGAAAGAACAAATTAGTGAATTTGTTAGAAAATCCTTGGTGATGAGCTAAGGTAGTGGATGTAGACTTTGATTGAGAAAGTCGAACCACTATAAATCGCTGTCCAATTCTCTATCTTTCAATCTCCTTACTCCCTAAACACAAAACCGTTCCGATCCCTCTTTGCAAATCGTTCCGGTTGTCGTTTCGAGCTTCCGAAAATCCTAACATAGATGTTGAGAAAAAAATTAAGAATTATACTGAATTAATTAGATAAATGAAGATATTTTTTAATGATTAATAAAATCGCTTACATATAAGAATAATTTTAGTAAAATTTTTAATGGAAGAGAGTAATCTTTATAAAGTTGTTAACATTTGTATTTTACTATAATCTTTTTGTTATATTTTGATGTTAAAGAAATAAAAATAAAAGTTTAAAATAATTTTTTTTATTATAGTTATTTCTTAATAAATTTTCAATTCTTTTTAATTTAATATTAAATAATATTACAAATGATTCATATAAATAATTTGCTAGTTTCAGAGATGATACAAATTGTACAATATATAAAAAATCTGTAAGAGTAATATTTTCATCGTTAGAAAGAAAAACAATATTATTTATAACAAGATTAGTTCAAGTCGTAAGCAGTTTGATATCATTTAAGTAAAGTATCGAGTTTGAATCCTTATGTATGCAGAAAATCTCTGCCGGGAGTTCACCAACTAAAACTAAGTGCGGGACACGGTCCGGATTAATCAAGGTAAAGCTATGCAATCGGGAGAATAAAAAAAATTATTGTGAAAAAAAATACTCTCAATCTTTTTTACTCTAAAAATTTATCATTTTTAATAATATATTTCCGTAAACCGAACCTACTTTTTGCTAAAATTTGATTTAACAACGTTGAAACTGAGAACACTGGATCCAAAACCAAACCTCAACCCAATTGCAAGCCCAGTTTTGGTCCCCCAACGCTGATTTTAGGGTTCTCAGACTATATATACGCAATTCATCATAAGCATGCATATCTATGTTGTCCGCTCCCCAGAAAAACACTTGGCGGCGACTGCTTCAGCTTCATTGAACACCAAAGCATTCAACCATGGTAGTTACCATTTGTCCCTTGATTGTACATTGTTTTTCTCTCGCTTTGTTTCTTTTATTTTTTTTTGTCTCACTGTGTAATGTACATATAATAGGCTGATGTGGAGAAGGAGGTTGCGGCGGCCGGAGTCCCCAAGAAGAGAACATTCAAGAAGTTTAGCTTCCGAGGAGTTGATTTAGATGCTCTGCTTGATATGTCCACCGATGAGCTTGTCAAGCTCTTCCCTGCCCGTGCTCGCAGAAGGTGAATAGCAAAGTATTCATTTTTGCTAACATTGGTTTTCTCTTTTTTGATAAAAAATTATCAAACGGGTTTTGTTTTCTAATTGTTTTTATGATGTGGTTTTAGGTTCCAGAGGGGTCTCAAGAGAAAGCCAATGGCTTTAATCAAGAAGCTTCGCAAGGCGGTAAGCTGATCTTTAATTTTGCTCTTTTTTGTTGCTTTTTAGTAAATTATATTTGTGGGATTTATAATTAGATTTAGGGTTGACGTAGAGTTATTGAGCGCTGTTCATTTGATTTTTGTAACTTGTTGAAAGGTGAAGCTCATGTATGTAATTCAACATATAGCATTGGATGCTTATGGTTATTTGTTTAACTTCTGGAAATTTTTGTATCATATCTCACTGAGCTAAAGTTGATCTTGTACTTTTCTTCTTTCGATGATGTTGTTGTCATAAATTGTATATCGTTGCCACTCATCTCGAAGTATATTGCATTTGCTTTGGATGATTATGTTTGAAAACCCACTCGAATGCACATATTTGAATATAGTGTTGATTTGGTTAAGTAACACGTTTTAGCTCATTCTAATTGCAAGTAACTAACTCTACCACATGTGTTGTTGCCATCTCATCTTCTCCATTGTTTAGCTGTTTCTTGTTCTGTTTTCCAATCTCGATTTCTTTTTCATATATTTCAGGTTACTTGCATGATTTTAGGGTTACTCAAATCCTAGGTTGTTGGATTGTATTGTATTTCTATTGCTTTAGTGAATGTTATCTTTTTTGTATTTCTATAACTTCTGGAAATTTTTGTAACATATCTCACTGAGCTAAAGTTGATCTTGTTCTTTTCTTCTTTTGATGTTGTTGTTGTCATAAATTGTATATCGTTACCACACATCTCGAATTATATTGCATTTGTTTTGGATGATTATGTTTGAAAACCCACTCGAATGCACATATTTGAATATAGTGTTGATTTGGTTAAGTAACACGTTTTAGCTCATTCTAATTGCAAGTAACTAACTCTACCACATGTGTTGTTGCCATCTCATCTTCTCCATTGTTTAGCTGTTTCTTGTTCTGTTTTCCAATCTCGATTTCTTTTTCATATATTTCAGGTTACTTGCATGATTTTAGGGTTACTCAAATCCTAGGTTGTTGGATTGCATTGTATTTCTATAGCTTTAGTGAATGTTATCTTTTTTGTATTTCTATAACTTCTGGAAATTTTTGTAACATATCTCACTGAGCTAAAGTTGATCTTGTACTTTTCTTATTTCGATGTTGTTGTTGTCATAAATTGTATATCGTTACCACACATCTCGAATTATATTGCATTTGTTTTGGATGATTATGTTTGAAAACCCACTCGAATGCACATATTTGAATATAGTGTTGATTTGGTTAAGTAACACGTTTTAGCTCATTCTAATTGCAAGTAACTAACTCTACCACATGTGTTGTTGCCATCTCATCTTCTCCATTGTTTAGCTGTTTCTTGTTCTGTTTTCCAATCTCGATTTCTTTTTCATATATTTCAGGTTACTTGCATGATTTTAGGGTTACTCAAATCCTAGGTTGTTGGATTGCATTGTATTTCTATAGCTTTAGTGAATGTTATCTTTTTTGTATTTCTATAACTTCTGGAAATTTTTGTAACATATCTCACTGAGCTAAAGTTGATCTTGTACTTTTCTTATTTCGATGTTGTTGTTGTCATAAATTGTATATCGTTACCACTCATCTCGAATTATATTGCATTTGCTTTGGATGATTATGTTTGAAAACCCACTCAAATGCACATATTTGAATATAGTGTTGATTTGGTTAAGTAAAACGTTTTAGCTCATTCTAATTGCAAGTAACTAACTCTACCACATGTGTTGTTTCCATCTCATCTTCTCCATTGTTTAGCTGTTTCTTGTTCTGTTTTCCAATCTCGATTTCTTTTTATATATATTTCAGGTTACTTGCATGATTTTAGGGTTACTCAAATCCTAGGTTGTTGGATTGTATTGTATTTCTATAGCTTTAGTGAATGTTATCTTTTTTGTTCGAACTAAATTAGTTTCATCAGTGTTTTGATTATTATGTGGAAGTTGTATCATTGATGCATTGATTTAGGAAAGGGATGCACCACCTGGTGAGAAACCAGAGTCACCCACCTGTATAATGTGTTCATTGTTTGAATATATTTAAGGTTACTAGAACCCACGTGAATGCATGTATTTGAATATGGTCTTGATTTGTCGAAGTAAAAGCTTTTAGCTCATTCTAATTGCAAGTTACTAACTCCATCACGTGTTGTAGCCGTCTCATCTTCTCTATTGTTTAGCAGTTTATTGTTTCGTTTTCCAATCTCTAGTTCTATTTCATATATTTAATTTAACATTTTTACTTGCATAATTTTAGGGTTACTCAAATCCTAGGTTGTTGAACTGTCATTGTAGTTCTATATCTTTAGCGAATATTATCTTTGGTTGAACTACATTAGTTGCACCAGTGCTTTGATTATTCTTGAAAGTTGAATCTTTGATGCATTGATTTAGAAAAGGGAGGCACCAGCTGGTGAGAAACCAGAGCCAGTAAGAACCCACCTGCGTAATATGATCATTGTGCCGGAAATGATCGGAAGCATTATCGGCGTGTACAATGGCAAGACATTCAATCAAGTTGAGATCAAGCCTGAAATGATAAGCCATTACCTTGCCGAGTTTTCTATTTCGTACAAGCCAGTTAAGCACGGTAGACCCGGTATCGGTGCTACCCACTCTTCTAGGTTCATTCCTCTGAAATGAAGTCATTTCTATGTGGTTTGGGTACCCTTTTTATATTGTGGCGTATGAAGAGGTATTCATGTTGATTAAGTTTTTTATTGTTGCAACCTTAGGTATTTTAATCAATGACAATTTCACATTGTTTCGGATGATTTTTATTTATGTTTTGGTTAATTGAATATTAATTTATCTAACAAAGAATTGAAATAAAGATCTACTGAAATAATAGATGAGTTTTATTTTATAAATATTTATAATATTATGTTATTATTTGTTTCTAATTTAAATGATTTTCTATAAATTTTATAATACATATATATATTTTTTCATATGTGATATATATATCAGATAAAGTTGAGAGATTCGATTCAAACTCGAAAATCAGTTCATTAATTTTGTTTGCACTGTTTTTAACAATTAATTGGACTAATGACATTAATCTTAACAGTGTAATTTTCTTTTGAAAAGATTTAAATTTAAATTTATCCATACATATAAATTACATTGTTGGAATTAGGATTGGGCATTGGATCCGAATCTGACGGGTTTTGATTTGACCTGATCGGGTTGAATTTTTAAAACAAATTTGGGTTCAGGTCGGGTTCGGGTTTAGGATGAAAAATACTCGACCCGACCCCAAAAAATATATAATATTATCTTATATATTTAGGAATAATTACAATAATACCCCTATATATATATTTCAATTAAATCACTGTTTTTATGGAATAAAAATAATATTTTTTATTATTTCGGGTCGGGTCAGGTGAAATTTTATTTTAGACGGATCGAATCGAATCTCGGGTGGAGGATCCTTTGATCTCGGGTCGGGTCGGGTGGACAAAAACCCTACCTAACCCATGCCTATTCCTAGTTGGAACTTGAGTTAAATGTAGATGATATAAAGAAGAATTTAATCCATCAACTAAAAATTAAATTCAATCATATTTCATTTATAAGAAATTAAATAGAAAAGTCAAAAGTTTTACACTAGAATTAGCTTTCTTGGCCCACTAATTTACATTTTGTGGTCAATTGACCTAATGTTGCATCACCTATGAATTGGAGCCACGTGTGGTTTTCCATTGGTGGATAATATTAGAGAAGCTTGATCAAAACTTGTGGCTGTTTTAATATGTTCGGTCGGTCCAACGTTGCTGAAGCTTCCTCTCGGCTTCTTGCAACGTCCTAGTCACTGCCTCCTCTACTTTGGCAGCTCCCATCTACAATCAACAATTGGCGTTACTACGATTCATATCATATTGGTAAAGGTATTGTATAGATCCATGATTACATCGCAGTTTGCATTTCGGTCCCTATACAAAAATGTTTGTAACATTAGGGGAAAAGACAACAATGTGGTCATTTATCTAACGAAAAAGAAGATGACTTTATGAGGTGAATTTCATAACATGATATGACATCAGTTTAAAATATGTTATGTTTAACAGGTTGAATTGATCGGAATGAATTTTTAATTTATCTGAATTTGATTTTATATTATAATAATAAAATTTGATCTTAAATTTAAAAATATTTTTATTTATCCTACACTTTATCCATAATTTTAGTTAAAAAAAACTCGACTCTTACCATGTTTAATATAATTTTTAAATGTTTAAAATAGTAAAAAAGTTTGAATAAAATACTAATATATTTAATTTAATAACATAAAATTAAATAAATTGTAATTCAACACCCTAATCTTAGTATCTTATAAGCTAATTATATATATTTATCAAATTGTACTAATAATATATAAGTATGATATTTCTGTGATTATTCTGAGACGGAACGGAATAAGTTCTATTTAATCCTAAATTTGACACGATCTAGTTAAATTTAAGAAAAATATTTGATACGAGCTTACTCGAAACACGGATTTTATTTTTTTTAAATAAAAAACTTGATTCTATTGAATATGATCGTTCTGGGTTTTAAAATTACCTGAGCTTCAAACTCCATGACTGCAAGGAATTGTTGATCAGTAAACATTGAGTGAATCATTGAGGGTTTGGAATCCATTGCCTTCAAGCATTTGAGAGCTTCCAACATTGAATCAATCCCAGGTATTGGATTATCTATCTTTACTCTTATCCTGTTTCCCTCATTATATTTTGCTTGCAACTCAAGGTTTCTCCTCTCCAAATCTTTCTTCACCCATTCCAGCTCTTGAACTCTCTTCATTGCCATTTGAACTATCGAGTTCTTATCATTCTGCCACGTGAAACATCAAACCAGATGCTAAATGACCACGTCAGAAGAAGAAAAATTATCAAATCTAAGGACTATAAGTTGTTTTATCCATATTTCAAAAAGTATAGTATAAGGTATTAAACTTGTTGATTGGGAAATTATGGTTACGAAGTTCGAAGTCGGTTCATCTTTTTAGTTTAGATGGATAATTGCTATCGATGGTTCTGATGTGTTAAAAAGAATGATAAACAAGGCTGTAGTAGAGGGATTAAGTCCTCTAAAAGCGCACAGCGTAGGGATCATTTTAGGAATTTGACCAAAGAAGAAGAAAAACAAAGGCAAAACCAAATACCTTAGTACCATGAGGAAGCATGGAATGCAAGGCGAAGTAACTTCTCTTCTGCTTCTCTCTTCTCATTCTCTCATTCATCATATGACGAAAAAACCTCTCTTTCTCACCTTCTTTAGCATCCGCCGCCGGTGCCCGCCAACTCTTCGTCAAGAACCTGATCATCCTCTTGTTCAAATTCCCGGAATTCCCACCACGGTCACAACCCAGATCGGCAGTCGAATACGGAACGAAAGCACTCGGTGCAGTAGCAGTAGCTGTACTTGACGTTGTTGTTTCATACCAGAAGATTTCTCCTTGCAGCAGTTGCTTTATCAACTCACAGTCCATGGCGTTTTTTTTTCAAGTATACTGGTTTTTTTGGAGCTCGGATTATATATATACAGGGTTTAGTCGATTCTTCTTCGTGGTTGACATTTGGAACGTGTGTTTTAAGACATGTTGAAAACGTGGTCAATAGGGTTTATACCATTAGTTTTTGCTGCTGTTGGGAGAAAATTCAGAGGCTGTTGTGTGGTCAAAGGAGTTGTCAAAGGGTTTTGGTGGAGTGCGGTGACCATGTTTTGCCCCTTTGGTAAGGACACAAGAATTGGCTCTCTGCATGGCGGCCGCCCAGCAGAAAAAGTAATTTAAATTACTATATACTTCAACATGATTATTTGAAATTTATAAATTATTATGTGCAAGTTTAAGTTTATGTTTAATTCCGTTTGTTTAATTATATTTTATGTGTTGTAGTAATAGTGAGTAAATAGTAGTAAAATAATAAGAAAAATTGACAAAAATAAAAGTTTATATGAAAAACTCTAAAATAAAAAGAATATAGAAAAAAACAAAAGTTTTTTTTAAAAACACCGTTATATAATTTATTAAAAAGAAGAAAATACCTAAAATTAAAATAAAGGTTAACAATTATAATAGTGAATTAAACACATAGCATGACATTTTCCTATAATCATTAACATAAAAAAATAGTCACTTAAGATCACACAATGGATCATATAAGAAAAATATCATAAAATCTAATCATATAAATTCGAACAACGGGTAGATACTAACATATTTAATTACATTGGTAAACGAATAACAAAACGAGATCAAACTATCGAAAGACCACCGACAAACTGTTTATCAGATCCGATCAACGTGAGAAATCTATACACGAAAGCAACTCGCGTATCCAAATCCAATTCGAGAGTCTAAAGTAGGGAAGATCATTATGATAACAAAATAAGTATCATATTGATCAGTCGTGGCGATGTCAAATCTAACCATGATAAAAACATATCAAAATACAGAGGAAAACACATCATTTATGACATAGTTATTAACAATTAAAAAAAAAAAAAAAACCAAAGATGTAATATAAGAAAATAAAAGAAAAAAGAGTTGATGACGACAACCAACATTAAAATTGATGTTATCGTCTATCAACTAAAGATGAAAAAAATCGAACAGTTATTAGAGTTTTAGAGAGAGAAAAAAAAGGTTATTAGGGATTTATTTTAGAAGATACTAATTTAGGGTTTAATCTTAAATTACGAGAAAATTATATGATAATATTTAAGTTGATTGAGACACTTGAAAGCTTAATGTATTTGATGACACTCTAATATATTTGGAAAAAAAGGGATTTTTTATAAAATTTTACATAAAATAATATTAAATATAAAATTAACATAATTTTCTAGAAAATACTAACACTACTTTAAAAATATTTAATATCCCTTAAAAATAATTAACACCGCTACTTATCCATACTCATTCGAACAAAATTGTTTTATATAATTTTTTAATTATGATGTTGCAATTTAAATTATTTCATATAACCCTAAAAATATTTATATGGTTGTGTGGACACTAACTCTTGTTGAATACGCATTCACTACAAATCTTTAGTTTTCTTTCGATTTAATTTTTTATTTGTTATATTTTAAATTAATTAGATTTAGTTAAATCAAATTCGAGTTATAAATTATACTATTATAATAATTAACTTTTTGATACATATATTATATAATAATTAATTATCATTATATATTTTTAATTATAAAGTATGGATCACGCTTGATTTATCATCCTTTTGTTCCCAGAGAAAATAGTTGTTTGGAAAGGAAGAAAAAAGAAGAAGAAAATTGTATTTGTGATTTCAGATAATCAGGTTCTTTTCCTTTAAGCCTATTTTAATATATTTATTTTCCAGAAAAAAGAGAGACTATTTTTGTTTTTGTATCATCAAGTGTATTGGGGTTCATCGTTTCGATAATTTTGGGTAACACTTGAAAGCAATCGTAATCGAATAAAGAATTTAGGGTTTTGAGTATTTGATTGTTTTATTTAGTGCAATTGAAGAATTTGAAGAAAAAAATATTGTCTCCAAGCACAAGGAGTATGATTGTGCTGTTTTAGCATGATGATGAATTCCTGGTTGAAATGTTTGATCTGAAATATATAATTTTGAAGTGGATTTGACTGTAAATTTGAATGTCTTTGATCAAATAAGAGGTTGTAATCGCTTAGTTTGATTCATGGAAGTATCTAATTTGTTGTCTTATATCTAGATGAGAAACAGAGATCATGATTCATGATTCACACTGTTAGAGGTTGAACTGTGTATAGTTGTAGGCTGTTTTCGGTCAAGCAAGTTTTTGAATGGTATGCCGCTAGGTATCTGTGCTATTTTTCAGCTTCATGATTGTATTCCGACCGAACACGACATCCTTATGCATGGTTCCTTGGTGATCTCTAGTTTGATAAGGGAAACCACAGAATGAATCTTCTAAAGTAGGTTGTCTATTCGGTCAAATGGAAGAAACTTGTGATATCATGGATACTTGTGGGTATTTAGGCTAATCTATCTTCCGATATGCTAGTTACAACAATTCTTGTTCTTTACTTTTCTTCTTGCTTTATGAAGAGTTGAAATGAGTGATTCGTTCTGCTGAGATCTGAAGAGGAATCCAGCAATGGTCATTGGCATAGCTACTTTCTTGTATTAGATAAGCTTGATATCGAAATTTATAGCCAAATGAAGGGTCATGGGGGAATATAGACTTCCTTGTTCCTTTTCTTTTCAATCAATATCATTGATTGATTAGTTTCAATTAGAACGATCGTTGTTACTTCTTAATTGAGCTAGAAACTTGATAAAAATGGTCTGGTTCCACGAAGGTTGATTCTCGCACGCCTACTCGAGAACCTGTTTAAGGAGAAAGCCAGTAAGGATCACGGTTACTTTCTAGCCGAACTAGCTTCAAGGGAGAAGTATTGCAAGGAAAATGTCGAAGATAGAAAATGTCTCAACACGGTGTGTTCTTGTGTGGACCCGTGAGGAATGCTTTTCTCTCTGCTTGGAAAAGGTCGAATTACCAATATGTTCACGGCAACAAACCAGCCTTCTTAAGCGACAGACTGTCGAAGATAGAAAAGGGTGTCGTCGATTGTTTCTTGGTGCTCGCCGTAAGATGGAGGATAAATGCAAGTAGGGGTTTTGAGATGCTTACCGGTGTAGATGCTGATTCACTCGGACCGGTTTCGTTGCCAGGGTCCGACGAGTTGGAGTGGTGAATGAATTACCGTATGGAAAAATTAATTGTGATCGTGATTTTGGGTAATATTAGCAGGGATTTGTATATATTTTACAGTTCCTGATGATAGTTAGAGGTGTAGTTTTCTCGTTAGATTAAAATTACGTGACATGATTTAAATGAAAAGTGAGCTAATGATAATGGTTTTGTACATTTTTTTAACGGTTGAAATTTATAACTTAAATAATTAAATAATTAAATTTTAAGATATAAATCATAACTTAAATAATAAAATAATAATATAATTAAAATTTATATTTAAAACAATCAAATTAGATAATATGAGTGAAATTTATAACATGCATATAATATATGGATTGTCAGGATTTGATTAAAAAATTTATCGATTATTATTTCAGTTAGAATTTAAATTTTAAAATTTTTAAAGATATAGGATTAAAATCAATATTAAAATAATTAATTTAGAGTTCGATGATTAAATCTAAAACGTTTGAATACTATAAGGACTAATTAAAGAAATTTGAGCATTGAAAAGAATGAAGAATTAGACTTCCCCAGATGACAAGCATATTAGGGGCTTTGATATTTCAGTAGCTAAATTTGATCTTAAATTCTCTGAAAGCAAACAATCATTTTACTGCAGAAACCCTCTCTCCTCATCTCTTCAACATCCAAATTTCTGGGTTTTTTTTTTACCTCGACGTCTTCTTTTTTGGTGTTATTTTTGCCTGGGAAATGTCTTCTTTGTTCTCTAGCTTTAAGGGCACCGCACAATCCCTCACCGCAATCCGCCGTCCGTGGCGGGATTTCTTCGACATCACTGCCGTCGACATCCCAACCTCCGACGCCACCACCCGAATCGCCCAAAACCTAACCCATTTCCGCCTCAACTACACCATAGTCCTCCTCGTAATCCTCTGCTTATCCGTAATCTACCACCCTCTAGCCCTCGTCACATTCTTCGTCATCTTCCTCGCTTGGTTCTTTCTCTACCTCGCCCGGGATCGCGATGAGCCCATCGTGATCTTCGGCTTCTTGATCGACGACCGAGTTGTCCTTGCCGCGCTCGTCGGGTTGACGGTGGCCGGACTGGTCCTGACCCGCGTTTGGGGGAATGTTCTGGTGGCTGTTGCCGTCGGGGTCGGTTTCGTGTTCTTGCATGCGTTGTTGAGGAGTACGGACGATTTGGTAATGGATGATTTGGAGTCACCGTATGGGCACGTGCTTGCCGGCGGGGATGAGGAGCTCGATAGTCCTAGAGGGGATTATTCTGGTATTTGATTATTTGGGTTTTTTCTTTAGATTAAACATAGTACATTTGCAGAATTGTTTAACGTAGTCTCATTGATTACAATGAAAAACCATCCGAAATTATCAGTTTTTTTTTTATTTTCATTTTCCCACTACAATCTCTTGCATGTTTTCAATATCCTTGAACCGTTGTGTTCTAAAATTAGTTTGAATGAAAGTTGTTACTGTTGTTTTTAGTTGAATTTGGAAAGCATTGTTGTGAAAATTTTCATATAGGGATTGGCATTAATAGCAAAATTAATGCAGTGATAGGAACAAACTAGCAGTGTGTGTTAGGGTCACTATTTTTGCTTTCTTTGTTGATATGCTACCACAATGAATGTATGAAAACAATTCGCAATCACAATTTAAATCCCTATGGCTATTAAGAAAGTGTGCTATGAAGCTTGCTGAAAGTAGAGAATTGGGTGCAAACCACAAAATGAGGATGTTATGGCATTTGTGAAGTTGTGAAAGGTGAACCTGTCAAGCATCTTTTTTGCTTTGAAATGTTGATTTCGCAAGTCTGGTTTGATTTGTTTAGATGGATATTGTAGAAATGGAGAGTGGATAAATCGGGACGAGTATGTGGAGTACTAGAGTGTCTGTTGCACCATTTTCATGGTGCCTGATATTAGGATCTTATTCATTGGATAATGGGTGAACTGAGAAACTTGGAATGCCGTTATCACTACAAGAGCAAGCATTCGAGTTGTGCAAATGAAGCATGTTTCGAACTTGAAAGATTGTCTCAACATTGGCTCGTTTCGTAGTTAATGGAACAATGTTGATTTCACAAGTCTGGCCTGATTTGTTTATGGAAGTTGTAGAAATGGAGAGTGGAAATATACCGGGACCATTATGTAGATTGGCTGTTGCACCATTTTCATTGGGCCTGGTACTAAGATACCGGTGTTTGTGCCTCCCGGTTTGTCTTTGTTCATTGGATAATGGGTGTAGTGAGAAACTTGGAATGCCATTACCGTTACGATTGCAAGCTTCCTAGTTGTGCAAATGAAGCATGTTTCAAACTTGAGAGATTTTCCTCAACATTGTCTAGTATCTTAGTCAATGGAAGAAGTTGCCCGTCGTCAGAACTGATAGGGGACTGGTTTGGAAAGCTTTTGCAGGAATTCCCATGGATGCAAGTGCAGCAGCTCTTGGTGAGCGACCTACATCACGAGCTTGTATTCTTTATCCTATTACTCTAATCTCGATTCGAGTATCGGACATGAATATGTTCAATAATTTTACGTATTGGAAGTATTTTTAGAGGATCAAATCCCTTAAATAAGGTTTGACTACTAGTTTACAAAATACAGAAATCCTAGGCAAAAGAAGAAATAAAATTAGAATTGTAGCAAATTGACACATATATTTGGCGCCTAAAATGATGCCTTCAGCTCACTAAAATTGGAAACCACACTATAAAACAAATATATGTAACCCTAAAGAGATGTGTACAAAATCTCAGTCAGTTAGCCCTGCACTGCAAGGGCTTGCAAGTGATCTATGAAAACTTGTAAGCTCAAATCATCTGTAAATAAAATGTCTGAACCATCCGAGTAAGTCGAATCTTGAGTAACCGATGGGTTTAACTTGGCTAGAAGATACCTTGCTTGACTGCTATGCTGGTCACATTTAACAAGCTTTGGAGGTGGAACTCGTTCAGCCACCAATTGACCTGCATCGAGCTCTGGGGCTTCGAACAACTTTCTCAGATTCCCTTGGTTCGGGTCTTTATCATAACTGAGCTTTCTCCATTGAGCAATCTTGGATCCATAATGAATAACCACACAAAAGTAAGAGTCGAAGAGTAAAATAACATCCGGGGATAACGAGCGAATATCTAAGAGAACCGGAACCGGAGGTCCATCAAAGGAATATGTAGAAGTGTGGGTTGGATCATGACAATAGAATCCGTAACTCCTTCACGATTCAGCATCAGTCGAAAGAATGCAGTCTCATCGGGAGTGCTGTTAAAGGCATCAAGAAATTGGGACCTCCTTAAATAGAATATGAATTGGGGATAAAGCGAGAAGTTTGATGCAAGACGAAAAGACGAAGGATCTTCCTGTATATAGTCTCCGAACTTAGAAGCAAAATGTATAAGTGTATCATCCAGCCATCTGATAACATCTCTAGCAAGACATGTCTCTGCTCGATGGATGGCAAGTCTGGCAATAACTGCAGCTGCTGCTTCCTGATCAAACCCAGCACGAATTTCCGGTGATTGCTTTGCAACCCATCTTCTTGCAACGGTTGTCACCCGTTTCCGAATTCCCATGTTCCCATCTCTATAGCGTGTTATGAACTGTATCAAAAATGCAGCTCCCGGTTGAGGTTTATGTTCATGGTTTACTTGGAAGAAGAAAGCAATACATGTTTTACTAGCAAGTGTCCCCAACTTCCAGATATAAGTACCACCATCCCCGATCGCATTCTCACACACCAAAGTATTCAACTTCTGAAGAGAAACACAAGGTCCAAGGGCTCCGCAGATTTTTAAGTCTTTAGTAGTCACTATTTCGATGGTTGCATCGAAATACATCTTCAAATTCCCCTCTTCATTGTGACTACATATATGACGCATGCATTTTCTGAATTGATCGGATTCAAAAGACTCTCCAAGAATCAAGAATCCCCCCGAACTCTCAACAGGGACCTTCAGCTCCGCTGCTCCAACTTGATCCAGAGAACAAGCGAACAAATCAAGAATAACAGATGAATCACATAGCCTTTGTGATAATCTCTTATAAAAGTCGCAAGACTTTTGGTAGTACGGTGCCTGACCATTTATGAGATCCTTATGATTCCTAATTGCAATAGCAAGATCCGAGTCTACAACAATCCCAGGGCCACGAGTAGCAGGTCCAGATGTGAAGACCATGATCCTGGATCCCGTGTTAACCAAGCATCCTTCCAAAAGTCCAAGTGCTGTAGCTATTGCTGCTCCAGTCGATCTTTGAGGCCGATGACCTGGTGTCACCTGCACAGAGGAACGGATTTCCTCTATTGCAGATGTTATACTGAATTCACATTCCGAAATTGCCAGCAGAAAACTCTGCTTTTGGATAGCAGGACCCTTTCCAAGTTGCTGTATCTTTGTACCACCGATTCCGAGAAACTTTTGTATCTGAATACATCAAACGAACAAAATTAATCATAACACAGCTCAAAGCATTCCGAAAAAAGCAGTGCCGGGATCCTTAGCTCCACTCTTAAACATAATCTAACCACTTAAACAGTCACCATTCTCTTCTTTCAATTTAGTCTCCGAATACCTATGTGAGAAACTAAAAATTTCCCATCTTTCAGCTTAACCCGGAAAGAAAATTTTGCCCAAAACAAAAACTAGTACTTTCTAAGCAACCAAACAGTTCTCTCCACTGCTAAACAAGATGCGTTCACTACTGATACTTTCAACCTTTCAATTTAGCATCCAAATTACATTACAGTTTGAAACTAATAATTCAACATATAGAAAAATGGGGTCTTGATATATTTATCCCATTACCTGCTGGGAAGAGAGCTCGCGGTCACCATGAAACACGACAACCCTCAAACACTCCGAAAACCCGAGGTCATACACATTGACCATTGCATCAAATGTAACCAAGCCAACCAACGTGTTCTCCGGCAACTGTTCCACCAGGCGCCGCAACTCACTCTTAACCGCTCTCAACTCCTCTTCCTCCATACACCCATCAACCACGAACACAAACGCCGGCCCTCTTCCCCCCACCTCTCCAGCCATTGTAGACGTCATCGACGACAACGAAGACGATGACAACAACGACCCCATAGGCTTGGGAACGGAAGGCACGGTCTTTGCGTACTCAACGGAGCTGTAATTGGGGAAGAGCTCAGCCGGGAGGTTGGCTTCTTCGAGGGAAGAAGAGTAGGTTCGAGGGAAAGGGTTTTTGGAGAAACAGAAGGAGCAATACCAGATACGGTAGGTGTAATCGACGCGCGCGTAGGGGTTCAAAACGGCGCCGCATTTGGAACAAATGAGAGGCTCGTAAGGAAGGATCGGGAGCTCCGAGAACTCCGTCAACGGCGTGCACATGACGGAGAGTGGGATCGTCAATGAAGCGGCGTCGGGTTTTGATGTGGGCCATGAGTGCCACGGCCATCGTAGGCCCTCGATTGCTTCTAGTTCGTTGAAATCCATTTGAGAGAAAGGGAAAAAAAAGTTCACTTTTGATTTTTCAGCTTGGTGGAGAGAGATGGGGTTTATTTCGATGAAGCGAAAGTGAGGGAAAATGGGGTGGAAAGTGAAAAAACCCGGGTCCGGTGTAGAGTTTGCAGAACTTGATCGGAAGTTAATGATGGCGGCAGGCCGATTATGTATCTTTCATTATTCATTTCTTTGGTGGGTTTTGGCTTTGGCCTTGAGCAAGCTATACACCCAAACCCTTTTTTTATTATTTCTTTTTTTTATTTGTCTTAATATAAAATTTAATTCTTTTTTTCTTCTTCTTTGTCTAATGTTTTTGTGTTTAACATTTTTAATATTATTATTTAGATATTCCGTCTCAGTGACAATTGAAAAATTTATTAGAAATTAGTCAATTAATCAATATTCAGCGTATAACCTGATTTTTTATTTCTTTTAATATTTATAAAAATAAAATTTATAATTTTTTTAAAAAAAATCAAAATTTTCTTATTTTTTTTTCATAAAATATCCCAAGACCTTCAATTCTGATGCCGACCATCACCAGCGATCATCGACTCATCTACCAGTCACCAATCCATTGACCACTCATCTATCGATTGAAATAGATTTGTGTTAGGATTTAGGGTTTAGATTTAAATATTTGAATTTAGAAAATTTGGGAGTTTAAAGCTACAATTGATGACCGACGATCGGTGAATAGGTGACGAAAAATGGATAGACGGTTGGTGGGGGCGATAGCGGCGGTAGACGGTTGACGGGTTGGGTGGATGCTTTGGGATTGAGATTTTTTTTGAGATTTTAGAAATATTTTGGGACTTTTTGGAATAATAATAATAATTTTAAGTTTTTTATTTAAATAATTTTATAAATTTTATAAATATGTCACATATTGCATTTTAAGTGATTGACGAATTTTTTTAACATATTTTACGATCGATGCACCTAGATGATAATATTGAGCACATTAAACACTTAACTTGATTAAAAAAGTTTAGACACCCATACGAGAAAAGATGTATAAT